CTGCACTCTAAATAACGAGGTTTGGACTCAATAAAAACTGGAACTCAACAGTTTGCGTCAGTGCTTTAGAGGTCAGAGAAGTTCTGATGGACCTCCGTTGGACCTCCAGCCTCCACCTGATCATCAGCTCCACCAACACGACTTCATCAGCAGATTACTAATAAAACTAACGAACTGGTTTTTCAGTGTTTCTAACGGATTTCTTTACTTAATTCCCATAAACACAGTTGGACTGGTGTTACTGGGCTGTGAGCCGGTGAGCTACTGGAACCCGTCAGAGGAACACCTGTGACACCAACACACACCTGAACAGAACCGGCTCAGCTCACTGTCTCATCTTCTGGTGATGAGTTCTGTCTGTAGCCGAATCTGGTAAACCCAGCGTGACGTTTCTTACGTTGTCGTCTTCGTGTTGCTGCTGCTGAGCTTCTGCTGAAGAACCAGGAAGCTCCAGACTGAAACACCTGAGCTGCTGATCGGACCGTACCAAGTGTGGCCTCATGGAGGGGGGTTTAAACATCACCTCGTCCATTTGACGTTGGATTTGTTTGATGTTTGTGCTAAAGCAGATGAAAAATGTTGTGTTGTGTCATGTTGTGGTTTCTGCAGGTGCTTTATGTCCCCCCCCCCCCGTTGTGTTGACATGGTTTGATCCACAGAGTCTTTGTCCTTTCAGTAGCTGTTTTCATATAATTCTGTTCATGTGGCGCCGCTTTAGTGCTTCTGTAAGCAGGTTTTTGTCATTTTCAAGGTGACATCAAACCTTTTTTCTGAATCTTCCTTTTCTTGCAGCTCGATCCTCACACGACTTTCCAAATATGGTCAGAAAACAAACACCTGCATCTTAAAAACCAATAAAACCGCAGACGGGTGACGTGACAACGAAACACTCTGCTGGCGTACAACCTAAACGTTACCGCGAGCACGAGCCGACGCCGCCGCAGGAAACGGCTCGAGGAGCACGACCAAGAGCGTCGAGCAGCGTCGTCGGCTCCATCCACGAAAACTCCACGACGCAGAAAAACTCGACATCCAAGTTCTCAGAAACACTGACTGGTGAGTATCTGGAGTCGTGGTGCCGCGCTACGTTAACGCAAAACAGAAAATAAACACACAAAAACGCATCATGTCTAACATCTGTCATCGCTCTGCTTCCTGTTTACATCGAACCTTTAGTCCGTCTTTAGAAACACCTCGACTGTTCCTCCTTATTACATCTTTCAATCTATCTTTTTAAAATCCTTTTTTCAATCTTTTATACTCATTTTGTCAACTTGACCTTTCAAAATAAAGGTCGCAGCTTAAAAAGGTTCGTCTCAATCAGAAAATGTCAGTTTTGATCTTGCAGCAATGCAGCTACTGGCAACAGGAGAGCCAACCTGGACCAGCTTCATGTCAACTCAGCCTATCAAAATAAAAGCTGCAGCTTAAAAGGTTGAACGAAATCTGTAAAATAAACAGATAAACAAACACATCTTGAAGTCATGCATTATCTATCACACATGTTCCATGAAGCACTTTTCAGGCAGTAAACACTCAGCAGGGAACCGAACTGGACTGAGTGAACACATGACCTTTCAAAATAAAGGCCGCAGCTTCAGAAGGTTCATCTCAAATCAGTAAATCTCGTTTTTTTGTTTCTCCTGCAGCCGTAATTAAACCCGCTGAGAGCCGCAGCTCAGGATGAACAGATGAACAGGTGTTTGTGGAGCCGCGGCTCCGAGCCAGCAAAGTTCTGCTGAACAGCTTCAGGCTGCACACACACACACACACACACACACACACACAAACAAACAAACAAACACACACGTTGTGTTTCTGTAGGCAAATGAGTGACGGACAGCTCGTGACAGCGGACACACACACACACACACACGCACACGCACGCACGAGCGCACGTTCACACACACACACACACACACACGCACGAGCGCGCGCACACTGAAAGAGGAAGGCGCACTAACCGTCGCCTTGATGGGGACGAACAGCACCGGTCTGTCGGCGGCTCCGACCTTGGCGTCCTGCAGCGTCCCGACCTGGAAGCCTTTGGACTTGACCCAGAACTTGAACTTGGCGTTGATGTGGCTGCTGCTCTTCTCCTGCAGGAACACCCCGTGGCTGTTCTCCTCGTCGCCCTGCAGCAGCGTCTGCAGGATCTTGTTGTACTTGCGCCGCGTCACGGTCTTGGTCTTCCCGGAGTCCCCGTAGGTCCGCAGGCACCAGTCCTGGAACTCCCCGAACATCTCCGCCTCCGGAGCCCCGCCGGGACTGTCGGTGCCGGACGCGTCTCCCACGCTGCCCGCCTTCCTCGCTGTCATGGTCACTCGGTTCGGTTCGGTTCGGTTTGGCGAATCGCGGAATGCACAGAGCGATGCACAGACCCGAATCTGGTGGAAAACCCAACCCAAGCTGTGAGCGTCTCGTCCAGAGCCCCGTCCGGCTCCAGTGAAGCCTCCGGCTGCTTCCTCCTCTCCGCTGTTACGCACCGACGGACGAACAGCGGCTGATCCAAACGGAGGAAAATGTGCGTCCGGTGTGGATGCGATGAGAGCCTGGGGAGAGGCACCGGGAGGTACCGGGAGGTACCGGGAGCAGGGCAGGGACCGTCCGGGCTGCTCCGCTCAGACACACCTGTTAGCAGCGTGGGTCGGTGGGCCTGTCCCGTGGGGGAGGTCGGTCCGCGCCTCCTCCGGTGAGCAGCAGAGAAAGGAGAGGCGGCTCCGGCGGTACACACGGTGCTGGACGGTTTTCTGCAGCTTCGGTTCCGTCAGCGTCGAGCCGAACACGCGCACATTCCACCCGGACTGGTCCTGGATCGGCTGGCTGGCATCCGCGTGAGGAGCTCAGCGGGTCCTGCTGATGGCAGCGCGGCGGACACCTGTTTGAATGCGGTTCCTTGGCGGCGCAGCGCTCCGCCTCACGTCCGGCTCCGATCAACACAACCTGCGGCTCCTACCTCCGGCTCCGGCGGCACATGTCGTCCAGAATCCGGCAGGAAGCTCCGCTGCGTGGCTCCGTGGCTCCGCTCGGCCTCATCAACGGGACGCGAAGCTGCTCATCGAGCTGCGAACGAGGAAGTGTCGAAAATGACCAAAACGCGCAGCGCGCCGCTGTGCCAAGCGGCCCGCTCATGTCAGCAGGGGGAGGAACCGAGGCTGGAGGAGGACACAGCTGCTCACGGCCCGAACACGACCGAACTCATCACCAGATCAGTCCATTTGGAGTCTGGTCAAATAAAACATTAACCACATTTAAACACACGTTCCCCCCAAAACCACAGAAACTTTATCTATGACCAGAGTTCTGCCTTCAGACTGAGAATGTTCCAGAGGTCCAGACCTTTAGAGTCCATAGAGGAGGTCCAGACTGATCACTTTAATGGACTTTTTCCAAAATAACTAAAAAAAAAAATGTGGACAAATTTTAAGTCATTTTAAAAAAACAACAAAAATCATCAAAGAACTGTCCAGAATGACTCAGAAAATTACTCAGGATGGGTAAAATAAGAAAAAATGACTTAAAATGGTCCAAAATTATTCTACATGTTCTCAAACAACCTAAAAACACGTCCAACATGATTCAACAACAGTTCAGAACGACCAGAACTGGACCAGAATGACTCCACATGTGTCCAAAATATTCACATTTGGATCTGAGAATCTGTTTTAACAAATTACCCCGTATTAAATCAACTCAATCTGAACAAAGTTCCCCCAGAACCTCCTCAGAACCAGCTGGTTCTGTATCAGCAGCACCTTTATTTAACGAAGCAGAGTTCCGCCTTCATAGTGTGAATATTACTGAGTGACCTTAACGGTTGTGGGTCGGTTTACGTTTAACTCCAGACAGAAGCTGGTCTCCATCCTGACTTTAGTCTCTAAACTAAGTTTAGTCTCAGGTTCAGTCCAGAGGTCCAGGTCCTTGAAGTCCACAGAGGAGGGTCCAGATTGATCACTTTAATGGACTTTTTCCATCATTTCTGAGCCTCAGAACTTCATCAGTACAGCAGATAGACACATGACATTTAGGAGGAAGAACACATCTGGGTTCTGCTAGAACCTGACACCAGATCAGTTCTACATCCATCCAGGTGTCTCAGTCTGAACACTGGACCTGGTTCTGTTTGTTTCCTCTATAACCAACTAGTATTATGGGATGTGTGATGGTGTGAACAGTCAGACGAGTTTGTTCAAAATGAGTCCAAAATGTTTCTCCACCACGAGCCAAAGATGCATCAAATTTATGCAAAATGTCAGAAAACTGTTTAAAAGTTCATTACAAACTGGTCCTATAGGAGTTAAAATGAAAACAAGTCACTCAGAAACCGGACCTCCTGCTCCACTTTCACCAGATGTGAGTTCATGAACAGATGATTCAGTGTTTCAGCTCCAGAACAGACTGCCGGTACCGTCTCAGTTTAGGGTTTACTTCTTATTATTATCTGAGATCCAGAACAGACCAAGTCCAGCCTCCTGCAGTCCACAACGTCAGACTGATTTCACTGATCAGGAATCTGTGATATGAGGAGAGAGGTTCTGTCCCACGGCGCTGTTCAACCCTCTGAGCAGGTTCTGGGTGTTCTTCTGTCTCCTGGTCCTTCACTGAGGTCCATGTCTGTCAGCAGCTCTGAGGAACCAGAACATGAAGGAGGAGGAGGAGAGAACTCAGACGTCTTCTGTACATAAAGACAGAAATGATTTTATTAAAAAGTGAGAAAACTCGAGCTCAACTTTTCTTATTTAGTATTTTATATAAAACTGAATGAGCTGCCATCAGATGCTCAGTGTTCTTCCAGATGCCCACAGATGTTACTAGAACAGATCATGGTCACTCTACAGACTCCAGATGTTTCACTTCTTACATTTTTAATCTGCTTTATGACTCGTCTGTTCTGTTTAAACACCGCCTGCAGTTCAGCTGAACAGATTTTTTTCTACGTGTCTGTTGGTTGCAGACGAGTCATTCATGGCTTCTCAGCTGCACAAAGGGTTCAGAATTTTTATTGTTTTACAGAATCTGTCTCCTACAAATGCTTTATTTCTTGTTTTTTTTAATAACACACCTGTAAGCTTTTTTGGGGGAGTTCAGAGGTCATGACTCCACAGCTAATGATGAAATGAGAACTTTTCTGGTTTCCTTTAATTCGACCTCCCGTCTTTATTTACATGTTTTCCACCATTTTGTTCTTTTCTGGCACCTTTTCTGAGCCAAACAAAGACCTGAACCACAGCGAACGAACTGAAACCGCAGCGTTTTCCAGCTGATTCCCAGCTGACGAGTCCAACCGTCGCCTCGGTGGACGCAGAGAAACACAAATAAGGAAGCTGAAAACAGTGAGCAGCTTAAAGAGGAACGGCGACGCTTCACATGTTCCTCTGAGCAAACAGCTGGACTGAGTTCTGCAGCTGGATTCAGCCTCGACCGGGACGCGCTCGTCCCAGAAAACCCGACAAATATCTGCTGTTAAATGAGAGCCCTAACCCTAACCCGAGCCCAGCAGCTGCTCAGCTAAAGCTAACGGCGGCTACTTCCTGTTTAACTTTAAAACAAAAGTTTAAAATGATTCGTGTAAGAATAAAGTAAAACTGAATTCTGCTTTAAATCAGGTTTTTATTGCATTTTATTGCTGCCAGATGTGAGAACGTTTCTGCTATGAAGGTAAAGTTAAAGCGACGTTTTGGTCTCAGTATTTTAGCATTTTTATCCTATTTTATAATTTGATTGTATAACCTGTGATCCTGTTTTAGTTTTTTATGCCTTTTTTTTTAACAGCACTCTGGTCTGCTCGGGTTGTTTTAACATGTGTGCATGAATACAAACAGATTTCATTTTAATTAAAGAATAAAATGTTGACTCACTTCAACTGAAACAGAGGCAACACAAGCAGGAGTCAGATTATAAGTAGAATTAAAGAAACTGAGCATTAAGTTTCAATTGTGAGGAAATAACTCTGTTAAAGTTTAAAGCTGAGCCAAATATAAAAGTCTATCGTGACAAAACATTTAATTCCAGTCAGCAGTTATTGATCTTTTTTAATTAAGACGAGAAGAGAAAAAAGTTAAATCTGAGTCACAGAGAGTCAGAAAACCTGAATGCAAACAGGAATCAGAGTCTAGATGGAGCGTAAATGGATTTATTTCCAACAAAGAAGAACAAGAAGAGGCATCAGCTGAACAGAACCAGAACCAGAGGGAACCCAACTGATCAGAACAGGATCAGAACCAGGAGGATGTGGAGTCAGAAACAGATATT